TGATTGATAAATGCGAATGACTTTTCCGTTAATTATCAAAGTTTAAATGGTCTAGGTTAAAATTTCCCTAAACTAATAAGTATCCTATTTGTTAATACCGGAGAGAAAATGCGATTTTTGTCTTCATGAAAAGTTTGCTTCTGTAAAGTTTTAAACAAATCTTAATCTATGTTTTAGATCGAAACAATGTTGTTTATTTATTTGAATGAAGAAACCGAAAATAAGATTAAAAAAGGGAAAGATTAAAAGATTTTAAACGAAGAAGAAATGGTAGGATAAAATGGAAACAATGTTCTGGATGAGGAAAGATATTGAAGAAGCGCGTGCTGACGAAAACACATACACATCTAGACGTAGTTGCATCAGTAACTGGATAACTTATTGATAAAAAAAAAAGTTTTACTAACAAATATTTTTCGGTTAACCCATTTACTTGTGAAAGCGCTGAACCAAAGACTTCTCCAATATATATATATATATATATATATATATATATATACACCGATCATTATACATTAAAAATTTCAGAATGAAATTCTGCTACTTATAAATACTACAGATATATTCATACACCTTATATATATATATATATATATATATATATATATATATATATATATATATGTGTGTGTGTGTGTGTGTGTGCATTTGTATCTATTCCCACTCAAGAAATTTCAAGAACGTTGTACATTTCTTTGATGTTTCTGGACTCTCGTCATTATTTCTTTGTACATATGGTCGGCCCATTTTCAATAAAGCACTTCAAAAATTTTCTAAAGGGATCACTACTGAGACTGAGTAAACTACTAAAGAGAATACATTCACACACATACCATCTATCTTGATTAAGACTAACTGCATAGCATAATAAAGAATGTTCTGTTCTGCATCCAGTAGAAGAGAAACGATTTCGATTATTGGTGAAAGAGCGAATATTCTCTATATAAGCGTTCAATAGAATCACGACTGGATCATCTCAAACCTTTTTTTTTTGGTTTTAACGACTAAGTTGCACCAAATCTTAAATATAAGTAATTTTTCTTTACTTATTTTATTATGTCATTTTATATTCGTATACATGAATGTAAAAATTTCATTGAATAGATTTTCTTATCTTCGACTGGAACATTTCCATTGACTACTGAAAATCAATAAGATCCGCAGACGTAGGTTTACATGCTTAAACTCTACATGCAGATCGTACGTTACAAGTAGGTCCTTGCAGTATGTCAGTAACGTGGTAATCGCTTATTGCTTATTTTATATGCAAACAATGGAATACGAATTGATCAAACCAATTATTCCGGCGCATTAACATTTATAGGAAGCATTAGCCACAAAATTAGCGTTAGGTTATTTTTTTAAAAAAAGCATGTTCTTCCAGGACGTAAAAAATCATGACTCTCCACAAATTTCTTTTTTATTATCTCTGGATTACCATGCATTATAATCTATGGTAATGGGAAAGTTTGTGGCACGATTTCCAGTTGACATCCTTTTCCATCGTTTTGATTTCAGATAGGAGTAAATCACCTATCGCCCTGTTTACAACCCTCTCCGCTCTTTTTAACAGGAGTAGAGGTTTATCTCTTGTTTCCTGTTTAGGATTAGGTTTCCGGTTCCGTCTAAAGTATACTTCAACTCCACACGTCCAAAGTCTCCGCCTGAACACTGAAATTTTATTTACTCTTTGTTGTTGTTGTTTTTTTCTCAATAGGAAAATTCCTCTCTGGTCTTTTGAACAGGAGTAGAAATTTATCCATTATTTTATGTTTAGGATTGTGTTTCCAGTTTCTTCTAAAATCTTTTTATTTTTCTTTCACTTCCAGTAGCACCTTGTATGATAGTGGCATTATTACTTTGATTGGGGTGAACTGATTAAAAAAAAAAATGGTTTTCAAACAAGATTAAGGAGTCTTCCCTATTATTCAATCACAAGCTAAATATTTGTTATGAATCAGAGAATATATTAGGGATTTCAAATTTACTTTCAACAGATGCGTTCGTAAAGACAATCATTATGGTTGATACTGAAGTGAAAAATAAAGATATTTACAAACAAAAAGGGAAATAAATTTTGATATAAGACTTAAATGTATCGCATGAAAGGGTTGTTTCAATAAGTGATAAGTTAAGCTACGAGAGTGTGTTGTGCTTGTGTTACGAATGTAAGCGTTTAATGTTGTGATTATTGGTACTGAAGATACAATTTCGCAAAGGACACGAGAATTCACAAACAGCCTTTTTTTACTGGAAGGTAGGAGAATTTTGAGGTGATTTGTTTTTATTTCTAACGTCTGAAAAATGCGTAAATATCTTTCTTAGACACCTTTTTCTCGACGTTGAATAAGTTTTTGTATTTTGAATAATTATAGAGGAACGAGAGAGAGAGAGAGAGAGAGAGAGAGAGAGAGAGAGAGAGAGATGCTTGGCTATTCTAGAGATAGTAGTAGTAAATGTAAGGTATTTGTATTTTATTCAGTGTGAGACATGTACCCCTAAATCGTACAAATAACCGATCGAATGTTGGCACTTTTCTTAGGTACTACAAGTTTATAAAGCATAGAAAAATTAGTCATTTATGTGCTATGCATTTTACACGCTTAGGCGATTATGTATCTTTCGATACATGACTGACAAGGCAGATTTTTCCCGCAGTAGGTTGCCATTTCTTTCAGCGGTAGACTAGTTGCCATCAAAGGCTATAGGACCCAGTCTACTTTGCTATTTAACGATTAATTAAAAATCAATGAAGAAATTAGAAAACATACAAACATCAATCTATCAATCTATCTATCTCACTATCTATCTCATAGTGTGGGTACTTTATCTCCGATATTGCACAGTTTTCCTCCATGAATATAACAAATTTAAAACTATTTTAAACTACACGCACACACACACACACACACACACACACACACACACACACACACACACACACACACACACACACGCATATATACTATACTAGCAGCATGGCCTGGCGTTGCCCGTGCTTAATTAAAAAATCGTACGACTCATACAGCAATCGCTATCACTTGACTTAAAATATTTTTGCCCTTCCTTGCCTTTAAAGGAGTGCCCTTTGCCGTGCTGATGTTGCTACATGTCTTACTTCTTGCCATTCTCACACTGCGAATTTTTTCTAAGCTCTATACTAAACATTAAATCTGTTACGAAAAAAGAACTAAGCAAAATGAACACAAAACGATCAGCTTTAAAAAAGGACTCGTAACTGGAAAAACGGAATGAAAAAAGAATGTTAACAACAAATACTTTTTCACACCCAAACCCAGTTCTGCGGAATCAGAATCAACGTTGAGTTTAAGCAAGCGAATGAGCCAATTGGAGTAAAGTGCCATGCAGATTTAAATTTTTCCCATTTGTGACGAATGCAGCTATCGATTTCTTTTGCATGCTATCATGCTAGTTAACATTCGTGTCAGTCAGCTGTTGGCTTTCACGCTGGCCAATAGAATCTTCCTGTCTATTTGTGGTAGCCAACTATAGACTCTCACTCTGGCCAGTACAAAATGGCCGCAAACTACATGAAAACTGTCGTAGAAGCATGAAAAAATCGATTATTTCCACTATCGATGGGAGTTGGGAAATGTAAAGTCGGTCTTGGCCTTTCCGCTAACTTGGAGCATGTGCATGTAAATTTTGGTGCAAATCCGTCGAAAATTGCGGCCGTGTATTCGTTACACACACACACACACACACACACACACACACACACACACACACACACACACACACACACACACACACACACACACATCCTGCCTTTTATAGCTAGAGATATATGGAGCATCTTTATATATATACACACGAGAGCACCCTTACACACTATAATATATATATATATAAATAGCTAGCCAATATATATATATATATATATATATATATATAGAGAGAGAGAGAGAGAGAGAGCTCGACAGTGTATATATATATATATATATATATATATATATGGACGTAACATATCTTTGTATCCCGCCGATATGACTACATTAAAATTTAGTCATACCATACATATATTTATAGTTTAAATCTAATAATAGTAGATATAATAGTTTTTATATTATGTGAATTTCATAGATGAAGCATTTTTATTTTTATTATTTTCGACGAGGATTTTTGCTGTTTTTATCGCAACAATAAACGTGAATCAGAAAAAATGAGTAATAGTAAAAATTTTTCCGGTTTTAAATTCTGAAATGCAGTTTTATCATAATTTTATGAAGTATTCGGATTATTACCCACACGATTGTTGTTTCAGACATTATGTTTCATTCTTCTAAGATTGTGTCGCGTTTTCTAATCCTTATTTTTTTGCCTCTATATCTCAACTTTATCATTAGTCAAGCGACAAAGATCCGTCTGGTATTATAGTTTTATTTACAGTGCCAGACCAAGTTGGACAGAAAAATACCGGATACTACATACACCATAAGATAGTTGGAGAGCTTCCCGTCTGAAATGTAGAAACCGGAATAACAAGAATGAGAATGTATCATTGAGATGAAATATTCTTAACCAGCGATAAATTGATGAAAATTTGAACTCCATTTTTATTAACCTCAAAAATTACTAGAGTAGTACACCAATGGTTTCTTTTACACTAAATCGAATTATCTTCTTATTTTCTGTATAAAATTTTGCTATCGACAAAAACTTTCAGGCATTTGATCGACGCCTCAGCAATGTGCTTGTTTAATTTCGGTTAACATGACCACTGTTCCGGATCAACATCAAAGTATCTTAGCTGAACGGGTTGTTGATTCTTGTTTGACAGCAAATATATCAACCTTTTTCGAAAAGAAAGTAATCAAGAGAAGCAAAAAGTAACAAATTCTGTTTAATGAAGAAGAGTGGGAAAGAACAGAGAAAAAAGAAAAGATAAATTAAGTAAGATTATATCTGGGAAGAAAACATAGAAAAATAGAAAGAAACGATTGTTACATGAGTGCGGATGTAAAAAAAAAAGTTAAAAATTAGAAGAAAGAAAAGAAGTAAAAATACAGAGCCAATAAAATGAGAGAAAAAGACACAAGGGCAAATAAGAGAAGAAAACAAAGAAAGAAATGGTAACAATGAAAAAAATAGCAAAGAGGAAAAGAACAAAAATAGACAAAGAAAAAAAGGAACCAGAATGAAGAATAGCAAAAAATAAAAGAAAACTGGGATGATGAATAAAATGGAGAATTTAATACAGACTGAAAAACGTATTTAAAAGAAATAAAAGTACACTTATTGTAAATGAATAAACATACATTATCCTAAACGAATGAAATAACCTATACAGCAAATGAATAAAAGTAACATTACTCGAAATGAATAAATTACCCAATACGAAATGAATAAAATACACGTACCCTTAATGCATAAAAGTACTCTTACTCTAAAGAGATAAAAATTCTCTAATTCTAAATGAATAAAAGTCACCATCTTATACTTGTACCCTTACTTCAAAAGAATGAAAATACAACTACTCTAAATAAATAAAAGTACATCTACTGTAAATGAATAAAAGTAACTGTGTTTTAAATTAATACACCCTCAACCTAAAGGAATACACATGCCCTTAATCTAAAGAAATAAAAGTACATATACTTTGAGATAATAAAGTTAGCCCTAACCTAAATTAATAAAAATTACCTCTTCCTAAATGACTAGTAACAATTAAATAATATATTTCGAATATATATATAAATTGATTGAACAAATTATTGTTTGCCCAAAATAGATCCATTTTTTTTTTTATTGGCATTGGTAGCCGGATTTCGAGTCTCGGGAAAAAGTCAATATTTTTTATGCTGATTTTCAATACAGACAGGCTCAGCACAATCTTCCAATAATCATTACCCCACTACCCCCAGACACCCATTGGATCTTCTGCTGTGTTAGGATTTTGATTCTTACATGTGGCATTTAGAATAAATGAAGATTTTTGTGAAATAATGGAAATAGAAACACGCAAAAAAAACAAAACAAAAAAAAAAACATTTTTTTTTAGATAGATAGACAGAGCCAGATCAAGACCAGCAAAGTAAAGAATGTTCTCTAGCACTAATCATCTGGATAGACGTTTAATTATCTAAAAATGCAGATCCTATTAAGGAAACAGACATTTGAAAATTAAAATAGAATGTCCGTTTTACACGAGTATTTGTTTCTGGTGTGACTTACCGATCATAGGAAATCTGTGTTCAATCAACTCAACCAGTGGTTCCCAGTATATATTGCTTGTGCCCCTTTCACTATATTTCATATCATTCATCAGCTTTGGGCTTAAGTCCATATCGCGTTGCAACACCAGTTCGCCGTACGTTCACCGAAGTTAAGCAGCGTCAAGCCTGGTCAGTATCTAGATGAGTGACCGATTGGGAATAGACAGAAGTGCTGTGAGTTTGAGTGTGGTGAATTGGATAATGAATCGGAATTTTTAATCGGAGAGCCGAGTTCCAATTCCCCGTTGGGTTCGTTATATTCACTTACGCGCAAATCCCCTTGAGAATCGTATGAATCCTCCTCTTTTCTCTCCATCTATGAGTTAATTAGTAAGACTTGTATCATTAAATCATTATTATCGCAAAAAAATCTTACAATTTAAAAATATATTCTGGCTTTAAATAACCTGCGAAAGGCTGTAGAAAACGAATCAATAAATCAATCATTCTGCTGCTTCAGTTGATATTCTGTCAAGTATAGCTGATTTGGTTTGGTTTGTTTTGTTTTACGGCATATCAACCTCTATGGGTTATTTACTGCTGGCAAGATTTTTATTGCTGGTAATATTTTTTACAAAAATCTATTTTTTTCCAAAATTTATTGCTGGTAATAATTACAAAAATGTATTGCTGATAATATTTTTTCTTCAAAAATGTATTGCTGGTAAAAATGTATTGCTGGTAATAATTTTTCCTCAAAAAATTTATTGCCGGTATTAAAACCTATTTTTACACTTTCATAGTGTAACCCCAGTTTGGTGGTTAACTATTTGCCCTTAGCTGGAACCATAACAGATGCTACCACCCCGGGTCAGACCTGGGGACACCAGCAATTAGGTAGTTCCACGCTCCTCAAAACCTCCTGATCAGAGGCCTTGCTGTTGGACGCAATTTATCGTCCTACCCAGGACACCAACTATAGCTATATGCTACTAGAGTGGGACACACATCGAGGATTAAAGTGATTAAGTATCATTACTAGAAAAGAATTTATATTGACACATGTGCTGTAAGAATGACCTTCATGAAACAAGAATTAAATGTATTTTTAATAATAGAATTCATGAAATGTATGACTCATACAAGTAGAGCGTTACTGTTAAAATGGTAATGATCAATGAGATATGAATGAAAGAAGAGGACTTAGAAAGGAAAGATTATGAGGATAAGAAGGATTGAGAACGTTTAAACTTTGAGGTTAAGATTGCAGTGTTAACCTTGAGATTAAGATTGCAGTATTCATGGAACCAACTACACTGGAGTCTATTCAAGAAAGTATCAGTTCTTGGGAAAAAGTTATTTGAGTGAAACTTTCTTTTTACCTTTGAAACACCGAGGCAATGACGGTGTTTCGACTCCGTAGAAGTAGCATGCTGTGTCCTAGCTTTAAAGGTCTGACCTTGTCGGACAAAAAATGGAGGTCATTCGGAATTTTCTATGGAAATAGCCATAGAAAAACGTTAAATCTGTGGGAGAGGCTGAAAAGTCCCCTCCCCTCATAAGACAGCATAAAAAATTTTGAACACTATCAAGGCTGGAAAGTGTGGATTAAACGACTCCAGACCAGATATGACAGGAATATTCTATTTTTGATCTAATCTTACTCTTGTATATGTCTATATATCTATATATTTTCACGTGTGCGGAGTGCTGTTTGCTTTGATGAGAAAAAGGGATGCGAGTCGGAGTTTCTTCGAAAATTTGTTCTTTATTTATAGAATGACGTTCTGAATAGATACGATCAAAACAATATAAAAATATTTGTGCAAAGATTAACAATGATTGACGAAGCTTCATTTAAAAAAAAAAAATGAAGATAGAACACGGTAGATTCAAATTTATGGACATATTAAAAAATTGAACATTCAACAAAAGCAGAAAGATTCATTATCTGGGTTCATTTTGTTAGTCGATTAAGAAACGCCTTGCAACACCTGCCCGTCCCTGTTAAGCAGTAACAATACCGCATCGTATCCACATCCACTTGTCTCTTTCTTTTTCATTTCATGGCGAAAGCTGTACCAGTGGGTTGTTGAAAAACAAACTGCCATATTGCCGGGCAATTAATAGACAAAATGAGAAAAGGATGAATAATTCACTAGTTGTGGGCTCAGGTGCGATGCTGGCGGCTTTTTAATCCAAAAATGTTGAATCAAAAATGATAATAAGGTTGGTGTTGCGAAAAGTTTAAATTTTCATCGAACCAATTATGATTTTAATTTATAGTTTTAGGCAGCTACAAATATAAGAGAATAGATTGTATTTTGGAAATTTTCCGTATGCAAAATAATACAAAATTAATTGTTCAACAACGAATGAAAAGTGTTTAGTTTCATCTCTATCATTCATTTCCTTCATATTATGAGTGTCGTCGAAAAATTAAATAAAGACAACTACCCGTTGCTTTGGTTTAATAATTCTGAAAAAAATAGACTTGATTCATTACGTTTTGAGTAAAACTATCAATAGACACAGTCTTAGATTGATACCGTAATGAACAAATAGTAATAACTATTCAAAAATAATAAGTTAGTTATATGAAAATTAGTAGAATTTTATTTTAATGAAGCACAAACATTTGGAATTTACTACCCGATAGTGGTTTTGTTAAAGATTTTGTTATTCCGTTCATTTTTTGGATCGCTCAAAAATACAGCGCCCCCGCTCAACCTCTAATTCTGTCAGTCTCTCTCTCTCTCTCTCTCTCTATATATATATATATATATATATATATAGATAGATAGATAGATAGATAGAGAGAGAGAGAGAGAGAGAGAGAGAGAGAGAGAGAGAGAGAGAAATATATAAAAATTGTTAAAATTTCAAATTCCCAGCGTCTCGCGTTCATGTTAATGTGCAGTCACATTAACATAAATAAACTTAGTTCGATGAAATTCTAAAGGACGAAACGCGTCACATGAAAGCGTTTTCATGTACAGAAAGATAGATATATACATAGATAAATATGCAGATTGTGGACATAGGAATCAACATTGGTTGGTGTCTATCAGTATCAACCGATCCCTGTTCCTTTACACACACATACGAACACACGTACGCACACACACACAATGTGAACATAGTCATCAACGCAGTATATTGTCAGATTCTCGTTTTTTGTCTGATGAACGCTTAAGACATGAAACCGTGTTGATTTTTATGTCCCCACAGTTCATATCTACAAACGTTCTACCTTCAATGTTGAGCTCTCTTGTCACATAAGCATAGCAATCCTTAAACAATATATATTATTAAAAAGAGCCAAATTAATTTTGCAAGTATCCTTTTTTCTATCTGTATTGTCTTCAACCAAAATTACGAAATAATTTCGAGAAATATAAGTAAATATCTTTAAGTTATTATAATTTGTAACAACACTTTAAAAACAATTTTAAATGTTGTTTATGCATTTTCCAAGTCTGTATATTCTCGTAATTCAGTGAACATAAATTTTGTATTTGATTTAGTGTCTCAGACGCCATGGGACATTTTATCTTATGAATTCATGTGCAGATTCTTTCTTTTTGTAAAAGAAAACATTTCATTTGCTATCAGCTCGAATAAATAGTTCATTATACATAAATCTGTTATTTATCAAATTTAGTTTTCAGTGTTATACACACACGCTTATGTAGATATATACAAATTATTATATTAGAAAGACAATATAGCTGTATCAATTAAGTTCATAACCTTTTTTTTTTGCACAACATACATTAATTTTTCAATATAATCCCCTTACTATAAGTTGCTTGCATTTAATTCTTTTATATCTATTTCTTTTCCTCTAAATCTATTGATTTTTAATGTCTGTCTTTACTAAAATATTATCTTTTATTTCTTTAAATTCATATCACTATTTCCATTTTTTGTGCTGTCGGAATTCTTGTTTTATTTAATGTCTTTTCATCAATTGACAAAATATAAAATGTGACACACTCTCTGGACTCTCACCAATTAATAAAGTAATATTTTTGATCATTCATAATTTATACTATTGAGAAACATTTCTTTAGCAACTTCATTTATACTTCCATTCATTTATATCTGTCATTGCGTTCAATTTCTCAATCTTAACACAAGAGATAATATATTATAAGCCAAAAAATAAAAAATTCCAAGATCCCATAATCCAATCATATTTTCTTTTGCGTCACGTAGAAATAAGTCTTATTATTTTGCTTATCTAAAGAAACAATCACAGCTTAAAAGTACACAGACTTCGATATTGCTAATTACAAAGTCTATTATTACCGAGAAGAAAATGACACCAGATTCCTTCGGAGCAGAATCAGTTATGTCAATGAAATATATATTGCATTTTCCCGTAATGTAGCAACCTAAGAACGCACATAAAAGTTTTTTTTTTCACAGACATCATCTTGTGATGCAGTTAGAATTTAAAAACCGTAAAATGTAAAATCTTCCCATAACAAAATCAAGCATGATTTGATTATCTTCAATTGCTGTATTTATTATAACATTGTTGATTGACTGTACTAGCCTTTCTTGGAAAAAATAGGAAATTTCTATTTACTTTTTTTTGTAAATAAATATATAAACTCAATGACAGCAATTTCATGTAGGCGACGTCATTTTGGATACAATCAAATATTCTGCATTACAGACTATGCTAAATGGTACCCAATACATAATATAATAAAAATACGGCATAAAACAGTTCGTATTGTCTACTACAAGATGTCTACACTGGTTGAAAGTAGCACTAGGCGCTAGGTAGTTTATAACGCGGACATCTTAATGATATTTCACGATACTTGCAGCTGCTACTATGATGAAGGGTGCAAGCTTTAACTGTGTTATTAACCAAAGGGATACAATTATTTTTCTTGATATTGTACTTACTTATATGTTTTAATATATTTTCTGTTTATACGTTATCTTTATAGATACAAATATTTAAGTAAATACTCTGTTTGTAATAAACAGTATTAACTACATTTACCGGCCTGAATGTCCGTAAAATTTCATAGAAAATATGTGTCCTATGAAATTTCTTGGACATTCGAAAACAGAAAAATCACAGGAAAAAGGTAAGGCGTTTGGAATTGACAACATCTTAGCTAAAATAATCATACATGGAGGTGAATCAGTTATAGATATGGTAACAATCATAAGTATCCTTTTTTATTCATGAAATAAATTTGAAAATCTCTATAAATATTTTTCTTTCTACACTGAAACACAATTGAATAAATATAATTGAAATATAATTTACCAAATAAAACTGAAGTTTACGTTTTTATTATATTAAGATCTAGCAATCGAGAGTGTGACCAACAACATGAAACTAGTCACTGATTATCTTCCTTCACAAAAATACATGACTCTCAATATGATTAGTCATGCATGTAAAGTGATGTTGAAAATTATTCTAAATAAGCTCAGCTCCAAGCAAAAGAAATCACCGGTGAAGAACAGGTTGGATGTCAACCACAGAACATATATTGAATCACCGAGTTCTATAGGAAAATACAGCAACAAAACGTCTACCATGTCTTTATAGACTTAAAAAAGCTACAAGGCATTGTGGGCAAAAATGAATAAATATACCATAGGTAAAAGGTTGATCCATACTATCCAGTGTGATAAGGCAAAGTAGCGCAGTTACATGGCTCTATAGGAATGTGCTTCCATACATCATGTACACCAAGACTATCTTCTCAACCCTACGCTCTGACACTGTTTAGGAACACCAGAGTACAGACAACGTCAGAAGTCGCAACATCACAATCATTCGCTTTACAGACAACAAATATGAAAAAGAACCCGGTAAAGAAGAACTCCAGTGTGGTGAAGAATGTAGATGAAACATCATCCATATATGGCATGCAGATTAATACCGATAAATCTAAATTCGTGATTAACAATGAGAAAGGACTATCAATGAAGCTAAACAGTAGTCAGGATCTTAAAGTGATGATATAATTTAAATATCTTGGTTCGATTAGCAATGAATAGGGTTTCAGAATAGAAATAATTTCAAGAGCAGCACAGTAGCAGCTGTCACAAAACTAAAAACCACGTGGGAATATCTGCCTGAAATCAAAGATCAAACTGTTACATATATTGATACTCTCAATGTTTTGCGACTCTTGGATATTAAAAGCAGAATTATAGCAAAGAGTCCAATAATTAGACATGAGATGCTACAAAACCATACTTGGCATTTCCTACGTAGACCGCATCACAAAGGATAGAGTGCGAGACACCATCAAAGAAGAAACAAGCCCATTGGAAGACATCATAACCCTCGTTTAAAAGTTGAAATGGTATGATCAGATCATAATCAGCCAATGATCTTTCCATTGCCATCCTACAAGGTACCCTCTTAGGTAAAGGGAGAAGTGGTTTGACAGAGGAAAAATGGTAAAAAAATGCCATTGATTGGAAGCTCATTCACAAGGTCTCGGAAAATCGTGACATATGGAAGAACATGATTAAGTGTTCAGTTGCGCAGCGACCACATACGGTTATGGGACTGCTGATGCTGCTGATGATGATTTTAAAATGAATTTTCTTATTCATGAAATAAATTTGAAAATCTCTATAAATATTTTTCTTTCTACACTGAAACACAATTGAATAAATATAATTGAAATATAATTTACCAAATAAAACTGAACAATATTATATCTTGTTTTGCAGATTATCACCGTCTTTTGAAAGCGTTTATAAAATCGTAATGACACATATTTTGAAGTTTACGTTTTTATTATATTAATAAACCTATGCTGTTTTCCAGAAGGTTGAGTCAAAACGTTTATTCTGTTTATATAAAATTATCATCATTATATATTTAATAAAAAATATGAACAAATTTGTTAATATATCAGTGTTTATTGGTTTAAATTTTTTTTTTAGTTTTATTAGTCTACAATTTTATTTATAAACAGTGCTAATATAATATTATTAAAAGTGATGAGATTTGAATTTAATATGATTAAGTAAAACACAATATAATTAATTTTTGTTATTATATACTAATTTTATCACGTCGGGTCTGTACAGCTCTGATAATCTCTGTCTGGATTTTTGAGATGACGAATTATTATTAGACACTAATTCATCAGGACATGATCAAAAATATAGATGGTTAGGGAAACTACTAAAATGAATAGAAAAACAGCCAAAATAAATATAACAGTTTGAATGAGTTACTAGTGTATAATTATAATTCCTCGCTTAAAAAATGAACTCATGAATTAAGTTTTATGAATATTTTCAATGAAAGAAAATCAAAGGTTCATAGTGATTATTATAAAAAGTTCTCTCTTCATAAATTTAAGTGTAGTTAAAGAAGAGCAATAATTACTGGCGGTTGGTAGAGCTTGAAAAAAATTAAAATGGATGAAGTCGAGTGGGAAGAGGAAGAAACGATGATACAAATAAGAAAATTAAAATTGTTTTAAATACAAATTCTCTGATTAAAAGCTAATGAAAACAATTAGAAGTTAATGAAATTTCATAATAAGTTAATTGAGAATAATCATGTTGTAATGGAAAATATTTAAAATTATTGAATGTTAATAAAAAGTAGAGAACGATTAAACGAAAAATCATAAAATATAAAAAAATATTGATTATAATTAAAATTCTAATTGAGGAACCCATCTCTTTCACTTTAAAGAAACATTTGCATAAGAATATCAATAATTATATTCTTGAAGGCTTTCTCTTCTATTCCTGAAAATAAAGATAAAAATAATGAGAAACAAAATGAGAAAATTCCTGTAATTTTATGACGTCAGCAAATTCATTTATCGTTTATAGGGATGAAAAGGAAATTTCTATGAAAATGGAAGCATGAGAAACACGATTAAAAAGAAGAAAGATGAAAGCAAGAAGGAAATAAAAACATAAAAAACAAACAAAACAGTAAATTTTTAAAAAACTAAATTGACAAATATAAAGTAAAAAATTAAATATGTAAATTAATACGAAGAACGAAAATAAAAAAGAGAAATAAAGTTAAATCAATGAAATAAAAAAAGAAGAAAGAAATTAATTCAAAATGCGAGGAAAAAAGAAGATAGAATGTCACGTGTCCCGTAACCCATTAGGGTTATAAAGGTACCATATTTACTGCAGCCATAACAGCAGTGGGTGTGTTTAGGGTAAGACAACCTTAACGGTATCCATATCTCTCTTCAGGTTGGTTTTGAATTCAGAATTCTCATTCTTTTAGAATGGCTGCCACCTCAAGCCGAGTCATCTATTCTATTTAACCCATAGCTGGAGGGATAAGAGATGGATTCATAAATTTTCCAAGTGTATTTTTTCCGTGAAGTTAACCATTACACTACCCGCATATATAGAAGAAGACAAAAGGCAAAGAGTAAAAAGGAAAGAGGAAAGTCAAGTAAAGAAAACGAAGTGAAAAATAAAGAAGGCAAGGAAAAAGAAAAAGGAAAATAGTGAAGAAAAAATAACGAAGAAAGAAAAGAGTGTAAGATATAAAAAGAGGGAAAGATAAATAAAGAAAAAGGTGATTATTCTCTATGTTAGGATGGAACAAAAATGAAAAAGAGAGAAAATGGATCAAGAAAAATCCAATAAAAATAAAAAATTGAAAATAAAGAAAGTAAAGTAAATGAAAATTAAGAAATATGAAAAAAATCAAATGGAAAATTTGGAAAGGAAACGGAAGAACAAAAAAGGAGAAATGAAATAGATCGAAAGAGAGGGAGAGAGATAGAGAGTGAGAGAGGGAGAGGGAGAGGGAGAGTGAGAGGGAGAGGGAGAGGGAGAGAGAGAGAAGCGGATGGGGGTGGAGAGAGAAGCGGATGGGGAGGGGAGAGAGAGAGAGAGGAAGAAGACTTTGACAGTGATCTCAGTTCCTGTCACATTCGACTAAATTCCTGAATGTCATCTTTCTCTTACAAGATGGCGTCGTGTACAAAAACTAATCAAATAAAAATAAAAATTACATTAAAATCTAGTGGTGGTGAAATGGTGCCAAGTAATGTCAGCACTGCTCGACCCACTTCTTATGTCCGGTAGAAAACTAATAAACTTGTGACGCATTCACGTCTTTTCCGCCATTTTGCATCTAAGACTCCCTGTTAAAAAGAAACCCAGTTTTACTCACTGCAAGCTCCCTAGCCCAACCAAGTTTTCTCGTGCAGATGTGGGTGGGAGGTACAGAAACTGATTCATGATAGATGGTAGGCTTGACGTCTTAGGAGGCTTATAAAGATTCCTTTAAATTGACAAAACACGGTTTTCAAATTGTACATATATAGAAATATATACATACCAGATTTAGAATGACATTTACAGCTTCTTATCGAATGAAAACGTAGTCATATGTTCCTCTATATGGATATTCTTATGCATTTTTAACTTCTATAAATTCTATCACAATTCATGACTTCTGCTGTTTTGAAGCAAGAAGTAAAATATTCACTGAATAATTTACCCATATTCGTTGGTTTAAAATTAACATTTGTATTACAGTCACTTGTCTTTATAGAACGGATAAATTTGAAAAAAATGAATAAATTTAATTTTTACATATTTCTTTAAGTGTGTAACTTCGCTTCGAAGTGGGACTCTCATTTATTGAAAGTAAAACAAACTAAAATCTTTTTAATATGTACATATTTAGATTAAGGTTTCTCTTAAAAATCATTTTTATAGTGAACTGTTTATAATACTTATCAAAGTCACGGAATTTACTTGTCTATGTTTTATGTATAGTAAATTGTTGTATGTGGTTAGTTCGGACTAATTTTGTCGTCACCCCCCCCCGACATTTCATTCATGAAGTCACCGGCCTTCCTCCGGTTGTATGTTGCGTTCTGTAAGATCGTCCAATCACGTTCTGAGAGAGCGTGTGCACCTCATCACAGGTTCAGTGTTTGCTTTATTCTAACTTTTATAGAATTAAATTAATATAATAAGCAAGAACAGCATTGGAAAATAAGAAGGGTACAAACATCTGCACCCATCCTATATCCAGACTACTGACTCAGTAGAGATAGGCATTTGATAGCTTGTGGGAATCAATAATCAGTAAGGAACAAGCGATGGTGTCTTGGGATTTCCATTGACTGGGTCAACCAGTGGTTAAAATAGATCATCTAACATTATTCAGACAAGAGAAAGTGAATGGCTATTAAACTATTCACTCCAAGCAAGGCAGGAATGCCATTAGTACGCAGGGAGTTACAGAGAGTGAAAGTCAGAGAAAAAAATGGATATGGGGGGGGGTGAGGAAAGAGTAAAAGATGAACGGGGTTCAAAACGATAGAAGATAGCGATTGACGTTGCATTTAAATTTTTGAAGATTGTATTTTCAGGGAAGCAAGCAAACGGGAGGGAGTTCCACTGTCGGGAAGTACGAGAAAAAAACAAAACAAACTGTGACGGTTACATTTAACTATTTCAACAGTAAAAGAGTGGGATCTAGATGCCAGTCTAGTAGAACGCTTAAATTCATGTAGTGGGGGCACCAGGGGAAAAAAGCTCGTCAGTGCAGTTGCCATGAAAATATTAGTAGAGAAGACAGAAGGAAGCCACCACACGTCGGTGAGAAAGTGACTGAAATCGAGATGCCAAGATCTATTAGATTGCAGATCCTTCTTTGGAATTTGTCAAGAATCTCGAGATAAATAGCAGGAGCGCAAGACCAGATATATACAGCAATAGTATCCAATGCTCTGCCGAATGGTAGATTTGTAAATGTGCAAGTGGTGTCTAACGAGAAAAACCTTCTCGTACGACACAATGAACCAATTTCCTTGTGGTAAGTGCAGCTATTGATTCAATGTAGTTATTTCACTTCAAGTCAGTTGAAAACGTGAGGCCAATAAGCCACAAGAAGGTGTTCTCCAAGAGTTGAGGATCAGCCATGATGATGGCAGGCAGGGAAGGTTCTCTAAGAGCAGTTTAGTTTTGGAGGCATGAAAATTTGCAAGGCATTTTCTGCCCCTGTTAACCACTGATTGGAAACCTCTTTCAAGAGCAACGGCCAGGATTTAGCGTATATTATAAGCATTTGCATTACTTTCTCACATTTTTCAAATAAAAAGTGAAATCTTTATACGAATATGTCAATCAGTATTAGCCATGTTATCATTTCTGTAGTAAGTGTAAAATCTCTGAAATACTAATATTTTTATAATTATAATGGCCTCGTTTTAGGAAAATACAGCATGTCACGAGCGTACAGAAATTTTGAAAATTATTTATCTACATTCCAACAAGATAAATTTGTTGATACAAAATAAAGTTTGTCGCGTATTTTAAATCGACAATGTTTTCAAATTTTTCAGACACAGTATTTAGATATTTGTGCATAGATTTATTCAACCACAATTGCTATTTTATTTTCGTCATTTTTGAGGTAGCTTCATAATTCCATACCCTCAGAACTTGGCCTCCTTCTGCGTGATGAACCGGTTTAAGTGATTTTTAAAGACTCCCAGAGAATTGAAATTCTTCCCATTCTTCTTTTACTTTATGTGCCGTGTCCACACAAGAAGTAGACGATTATTTTTCTTTACAGCTTCCTGTCCTTTATAGCTCTTAATAAATTTTGTCTTAATCTTATTTCTCCTAAACTCTGTTCCATCATCCATTTACTCAAACTCAATAAGCAGGTTATGTGTTGCTTTCCTCTGTCTCCGCTCGCCTTCAAAATGTCTTGTGCGTATGAGATTTTCCAAACCCGCTTTATGTGCGCTAAAAGCATCAAAGCGTCTCTTCCTGATGTTAAGTATAAGTTTCCTTTTTGTTTCCATTTTCTCTAAAACTTCGTCGTTGCTCACATGTTCGGTTTATAGTATCCTCATCATCCTTTTGTAGAACCACATTTCTGTTGCTTGAAGTCTCTTCATCTTTGAGGAGATTGTACAGCTCTCACTATCATATAGGTGGACAGATATCAGGTAACAGTTTAGCACTCTTTCTTGCCTGAATTCAATAGTATTTGCCGAAGGAGCTCGTAAAATTCGAATACCATTCTAATCCGACATCAAATTTTTCAGTTAACGATGGCCGAAACTTTCTTAGTTCGTAAGTGATTCGCTAGGTTCAGAAGTAGACATTTTCATCTGGAAGACGAACTCTGTTTTTCACTTTTAAAACAAAAATATTTAAAATTCACAATCCACACACGAATCGTATAGAAATATGACACTATTTATAAAACCAAATCAAAATAGAAAATACACACATACACGAACATATATATTGCGTATTCAACCAATACTGAACAAAATTTATTAAAAGGAAAGTAGCTATCTTTTGAAATTCATTTGAGTTGACTAATATTTAACACCATGTTGCATTTTACCATCTCTGGTTACTTCCTTTGCATTGCGAATGCTTGGTTTACAAAACATCGCAAATGGTCAATTTTAAAATAATTATAACAAAGCGCATTCAGGCGTGTTTACAAAAATCACCATCACAGCGATTACAGTTACATTAATTTTGTTTTCGCAATTGACCCCTGAGGATGATCGAAATTACTTGGGCTAACAAAAATACGGCGCATCCCTTTATGAAGTTAACATCAAGAAGATAATTAGAGAACTAGAAAGGATTATTCTAAAAACAAATAAACATAATATATCTATATTATTTAGTGAAATATGATTATACATACATATATATATATATATATATATTTGTGTGTGTGTGTGTGTGTGTGAGAGAGAGAGAGAGAGAGATAACGATATATATTTTATATATTAGGAACAATATCTGGGAAAAATGTATGACAAAGTGGAAAAAGTTTTCTTGTGACGCGTTTCATCCAATGCAGTTCTAAAAGACGAATATATATAAATATACGCACAGAGAATATTCCAACAGGAACATTCGTGTTGTATTTAGCGCAGTAATCTCGATAGCCATTGTATTTGAGTTCAATTCTCAATGAGTGTTCACTAATCGTGGCCTTTTTATTAGAATTCGTGTATTCATTTCTAAAAAGATTTTAATGTCTCACAGAAGGCTCATGTAGACGCTGACTATCTAGCAGAGAATCTCCCGTTATATATATATATATATATATATATATATATATATATATATAATATAAAGACATTATACGTATCGTATACTTAATCTTTCTTTAATATGATCCTCACTCAATTACACAAATTTATTGAAAAAGCTCATATACATTGGTGGAATATTTTAGAGCACATGCGAACATTCTGCATACGATGTTTTGTGTGCTCATCCAACAAAGAATCGTTCCTGAAGTCATTCCTCATTAGATAATTAAACTGTTATAGTTCAACAAATATTCAATCAAATTGATTTCGTATTATTCATTTCGGGTAGAATTTCGTTTTTCTCTAATCACAATTTTATATGCAACTATATTTTTCTCGCTTGTGGAATCGACTCAGCATTTTCAATTTTGACAAATAAACAATTTTAAAATATTTCTATGAATGTTTTATCTCTCGTCTACCCCCCTCTCATACACAGACGTACACACTTTTTCTATAATATTTCGCTTTCTATCTTTATTTGTCAATCACATGTGAATTTTATAAATTTCATTTGACTATAATTCGCACATATTCTGGTTTTCATTGTTTTTCCCATCTCAACAGTATTGTCTGGTTGTTTGAAGAGACTTGCGATTTCTTTTTAAAAATCTGATATTGAGTTCGATACTGATTAGTTGTTTCATAAATGTGTTTGATGGATCAAAGTTTTGTAAATATTTTTTTATACTCTTACGTTATTTCTTTAGTATCTTATCACATATAAAACCTTTCATACAGATAGACATGTGTTTTTTGCCTTATTTCTCCTTGATTCATTTTTCTTATTTTCTTCCTAAACCAAGATTTTTAGGTTTTTCATCATGGAGATAGAATTTCTTGCTATTTTACATTTCATCGCTCTTTTCATTGATCTTTTTATTGATCTTTTCATCGATCTTTTCTATTTCACTCCTTTTTTACTTCATATCAAATATTTTCTTAACTATTTTCCATTTCTTTGTTACACACAAATCGAATTCGTTTTTCTCTTATATTCATTTTGCACTATATAGTTATTCATGTTTTTTAAAATTTTGTTCACATAATCTTTTCTTTTATCACAGGTGCAGACTGTAACGTATTCATTTTCTTACCAATGAATATAGTTTTATCTTCTCTTTCTTTTATACATATTTTATTTTTTCCTCTTATTGATACTAAATCAACTTCTGCATTTATTACACTCTGTCGTATTGAAACGTTGATCCTTATTCTTTTGCCTTAAAAAACTTGGTTTATTCTATTTTCCTTCAAAACAGCTTTTATATTTACGTGTCTCTGTGTGTAAAGATT